CTACTCACTACTCACTACTCACTACTCACTACTCACTACTCACTACTACTACTACTACTACTACTGCCAATGGTACTGCCACTAGTACTGCCACTAGTACCGCCACTAGTACTGCCACTGGTTCTGCCACCACAACTGCCACCACTACTGCCACTCCTACTGCCACTGCTACTGCCACTGCTCCTGCCACTACTACTGCCACTACAACAACAACAACAACAACTGCTGCTACTGCTACTACCACCACCACAACTACTGCCACTCCTCCTCCTACTCCTGCTCCTACTACTACTACTACTGCTACTACTACTACTACCACCACTACTACCACTACTACCACTACGACCACTACGACTACAACTACCAGGACTACTACCGCTAGTGCTGCTACTACTACTACTGCTGCTACTACTACTCCTCCTACTCCTGCTACTACTCCTACTCCTACTCCTACTCCTACTCCTACTCCTACTCCTACTCCTACTCCTACTCCTACTCCTACTCCTACTCCTACTCCTACTACTACTACTACTACTACTACTACTACTACGACGACGACGACGACGACGACGACGACGACGACGACGACGACGACGACTACGACTACGACTACGACTACGACTACGACTACGGCTACTAATACTGCTACTGCTGCTGCTGCTGCTACTGCTACTCCTACTACTCCTACTCCTACTCCTCCTACTCCCACCACTCGCAAGAACTTTGTCTCGAAACACTTGCCATTTGCAGCAAACAGTTTTCAGATTTGCAGAATCCTTGCTGTAGGAGCCGTGCCAGAGCGTCCGGAGCAACGATGTGACTGGAACAATGAGGCTTCCGAATTCCCGCCCGTCCGCGTTCGGACCTGCAGCGCAGTGGGCAATGAAGCTGGCTCTCGGAGACTCTACTTGGCTGAAAGAGCTGAGCTTGACTCCTGGACATCCAACTTCGGCTTGAACAAATGTTTTTGAGATTCTGAGGTCCTGTGAGTGCTGTGTGTTGCTTTCTGGCTTTTGTTTTGTCCATGCCAGGCTGGCTACGATGGATGGGCCGCTGGTGGAGGTGGTGGAAGCGTTTTTTCATTGCTGCTTCCTTGAAGATGGAGGAACTGTGAAGAAAAGTTGCCATCAACGCAATGGATTCTAAAACGCATTTCATCGCCTGTTCCCATTGATCCATTCATTTCTTGCTCCCAGATGCTGGCGCAAATGTGCCAAGCCCGCCAACGCAAGCCCCGATGATGCAAGCCCCGGCGATGCAAGCCCCAACCCTTGGAGGCAGGCTGAGCAGGGGATCCGGACAAGGAGATGCTGGGTGTATGTGCAAACGCTCCAGAAAGAACATACAACTCGCATCCAAATCGCATCTGATTGCCTGGAACAGGGAACACATATAACTTAATGTTGGATTAGTCTTAAGCAGGTCAGCCACAATTATAGTATCATTTTTCCGGAAAATCCAGATCAATTTTGATTTCGTATTCGCACCAAATCCTCCATAATTAGGCCAAATTCACAGTCCAGAGCCATAATTGTATTATTCAGTTACCAAACCCCACAACATATATAAATATCACACATGTCAAAGTATGTAAAACAAAAAATGTAAAAAGTGCATTTTCCAGACAACATTGCAGAAGATTCTTTTCATGCGCGCACAGAAGCGCTCAGGACAGAAAAGAGACCCACTCTGCCACAGTGACTCCAGAGGGCAACTCCCTGTCTCTCAAAAAGATGCTCCTCCAGGAGTAGGAAGAAGAGCTTTCTTGCCAGACACATGCAGGCTCAGTTGCAGATGCAGGCTCAGGTGCGCCGTCTCAGAAGCAGCTGCAGGCTCCTTCAGAGTGCCCTCAGCAGCAGCAGCAGCAGCTTCTTCAGAGGGCTTGTAGCAAGCCTCTTCGGAATGCTCACACCAGGGGTTCTTCAGAGTGGTTGCCTTCTTCACAGTGCTCCCAGCAGCCTTCTTCACAGAGCTCCCAGAAAGAAGCTTCTTCAGAGTGCACCCAGCGGTGCTCTGTAGCCACCAGCCCAAGTGAAAGCGAATGAAAGCAAATGAAGGCAGAATTAAAGCAGAATGAAAGCAACATGAAAGTGAAAGCAAATGAAAGCAGGTTGAAAGTAAATAAAAGCAGAATAACAGCAAAGTGAAGGCAGAATGAAAGCAACATGACAGCAAGTGAAAGAAGCAAACGAAAGCAGAATGAAAACAAACGAACGCAATATGAAAGCAAATGAAAGCAACGTGAAAGCAATCATTGCTTACTACGACTACTACTACTACTACCACCACCACCACCACTACTAGTACTGCTACTATTAGGACTACTAAGACTACCACCACCACTACTACTACTACTACTGCTACTACCACTAGTACAATTACTACTACTACTACTACTACCACAACAACTACTACAACTACAACTACAACTACAACAACTAGTACTAGTACTAGTACTGGTACTACTACTACTATTACTACTACTACCACCACTACCACTACCACTACCACTACCACTACCACTACCACCACTACCACTACCACTACCACTACCACCACTACCTATACCACTACCACTACCACTACCACTACGACGACGACTACTACCACTACTATTAGGACTACTAAAACTACCACTACTACTACCACTACTACAATTACTACTACTACTACTACTACTACTACTACTAGTACTACTACTACTACTACCACTACTACTACTACTACTACAACTACAACTACAACAATTATAGGACCGGATAACCCCACATGGGAACAACTTCGAAAGATTCAAGCTGCAGACATAAGGTGCTGAAGAGTGAGCATGGGGAAGAGACAGGCGAGACAAATAGAATGCGTAAGGGTCGGTGTGTGTAGGTGAGGTGTGTGTTTGATTGTACGTGCTTGTCCGTGAGTGTGTATGAGTGTGTGGGTGGATGTATGCTGTATGACGCTTGTGTGCGTGTAGGTGTTTGTAAGGTGTGTGTTTGTCCAGGGCCACACCTGCCACGCAACTGCTACCGGCAGAGCCCGATTTGACAGCGTCCCAGAACCACACCTGCCACGCAACTGCTACCGGCTGAGCGCGATTTGACCACATCCAGAGCCACACCTGCCACGCAACTGCTACCGGCAGAGCGCCGGTGCCCAGCCGACGCCAGACGACGCCAGGGCGTACATCCGACCCCTTGGCAAGCAGCAAGCGCCGCACACAGCAAGCAAATGGTACCGGTCGGAGATGTTGGGTGTGAGATGTTGTGTTGTTGGAGATGTTGTGTGAGTGATGTTGTGTGCGAGATGTTGTGTGTGGGATGTTGTGTGAGTGATGTTGTGTGTGAGATGTTGTTGTGAGAGATGTTGTGTGAGTGATGTTGTGTGCGAGATGTTGTGTGTGAGATGTTGTGTGAGTGATGTTGTGTGTGAGATGTTGTTGTGAGAGATGTTGTGGGAGAGATGTTGTGTGAGAGAGGTTGTGTGAGTGATTTGTGTGAGAGACGATTTGTGTGAGAGATGTTGTGTGAGAGATGTTGTGTGAGTGATGTTGTGTGAGAGATGATTTGTGTGAGAGAGGAGGAGGAAGGAGGAAGGCGGAGGAGGAGGAGGAGCGAGGAGGTGCAGCAAAAAAACAAGAACCCCACACGGCAATGTGGGGAACTACAACTACGACTACAAACTACAACAACTGCTACTAGTACTAGTACTAGTACTACTACAACTACCACTACTACTACTACTACAACAACTACTACTACTACTACTACTACTACTACTACTACTACTACGGCTACGGCTACGGCTACGGCTACGGCTACGGCTATACGACTACGAGTAGGGCAATACCACCGCGACTATGCGACTATACGACTATACGACTGTACGACTATACGACTGTATACGTTTATACGACTGTACGACTACGACTCGACTGTTCGACTACGACTATATACGACTGCGACTGTACGACTACGACTACCACCACCACCGCATCACCACGACGACGACTACTACTACTATTACTACTTCTACTACTACTACTACTACTACTATTACTACCACCACCACTAGCGCTACCACTACCACTACCACTACCACTACCACTACGACTACTACTACTACTACACTACACTACACTACACTACACTACACTACACTACACTACACTACACTACACTACACTACACTACACTACACTACACTACACTACTACTACTACTACTAGTACTACTAGTACTACTAGTACTACTACTACTAACTATACTTAGAAGGCGTTGTACTTATAAGTATACTTATAGTACTTATACTTATAAGTATCATAACTATATTATAGTCTACTTATACATAAGTAGCACAAGTGCGACCTAAGTATGACCTCAGTGTAACCTGGTAGAACCAAGGTTTTTCGAAGAACCGGTCATATATCGCAAAACTCAACAAAACGAACATAAACCGCGCTGCGCGAGCACAATTTTTCAGTGGACGCAGTCGAAGGTGTCTTGACTTTGCTTCCAAAAGTACGGCGTGAAGAACCAATCGGTTCGATCGACCTGCCACACGCAAGTCTCAGAGGTGAGACGCCGCTGGCTGCCCCACACAGTCCTCAAAACGCTGCGCAAGCGATGCGCACTCTTCCCCCCCAAAAAAACCTCACTCGGAAGGCGCGAGACAAACGCGAGACAACGCGAGGCGATCCCGCCAGAGACGTTTTGCTGGTGCCGGATGATTACGGTCAGTGGCGCGAGACAAACGCAAGACATGCGAGACATTTCCGGGTCTTTGACCCCGTGTCCGGCGCGAGACAAACGCGAGACATTCGTCTGATGTCCCCAAACGCCTATAGCGGGCCCAACAGTCCCATCGCCGACTCCACGCGGTACTGCGGGGCTAACAAAAGGCCGCACGCGTCCAGAGCGAATACGCAGTCCGTCAACAGGCGGCGCTCTGGCCAGGCGTCCTCCGCAGTCGACCTGTGCAAGTCTGCCAATTGTGTGTAGTCTTGTAAGGCAGCCCTCTCCGCCATTCTCCACCTTTTGAGCCGAAAAAACCTGCGGGCGCGCGAATGTCTTCCAAAACCAAGCGTTCATAACTAGAACCTAAGTACGCTAAGTCTGTCCTGTCTACTTCACGTCATACTTCCGACATACTTATAAGTATATATATATATATAAGTTGAGTGCATGTACTATAACTCCAGCACAAGTCTGCTTTAAGTGCCATAACTTTTGATGTACTTATCATACTTATGTGCATACTTATCGTCGTTTATTTTTACATTATCTAAACATATATATATATCCTCGTTATAGCTATACTTATAACTGCTAAGCCATCTAAGTACTACTGCCACTACCACTACCACTACCACTACGACTACGACTACGACTACGACTGCTGCTACTACTACTACCACTACCTCTAGTACTACTACTACGACTACTACCACCACTACCACTGCTACTACTACTAGTACTGCTACTAGTTTTACTACTTACTACTTGCTACTTAGTACTGACTACATACGGCTTACTGCTTACTGCTTACTGCTTACTACTTACTACTTACTTACTTACATACTTACTTACTTGCTTGCTTACTTGGTTGGTTAGTTACTTACTTCTTTACCTACCTACCTATCTACTTACTTACTTACTTACTTACGTACTTACTTACTTACTTAGCTTAACTTAACTTAACTTAACTTAACTTACTTGACTTACTTAACTTACTTAACTTACTTAACTTACTTAACTTACTTAACTTACTTACCTTACTTACCTTACTTATCTTACTTAACTTACTTATCTTACTTAACTTACTTAACTTACTTAACTTACTTTACTTTACTTTGCTTTTACTTTACTTTACTTTACTTTTATTTTTACTGTACTTTACTTTACTTTACTTATTTACTTACTTACTTACTTACTTACTTAACTTACTTACTAGCTTACTAACTAACTTACTTTACTTTGCTTTACTTTACTTTACTCTACTCTACTCTACTCTACTTTACTTTACTTTACTTGCTTACTTACTTACTTACTCAGTTACTTACTTACTTTACTTACTTACTTACTTACTGACTGACTGACTGACTGACTTACTTACTTACTCACTCACTCACTTACTCACTTACTCACTCACTCACTTATTCACTCACTCACTTACTCACTTACTACGACGACTACTACTACGACGACGACCGCAACTACCTACAACAACAGCAACAACAACTACGACCACTACCACTACCACTACCACTACCACTACCACTACCACTACCACTACCACTACCAC